TGTTGCCCGCTGGAGGGGGTCCTGGGATTCCTACAGGAGCTCTTCGACAAGGGGAGGGCTGTCGCTACCTTGGCGGTGTTCGCGGCAGCCATTACTTCGGGTCACGACGGATTCGGGGGATTCACAGCCCGTTCTCACCCGTTGGTTAAACGTTTTCTGCGGGGGGCGCGCAGGAGGAGGCCCCCGCTCCAGAGAACGCCTCCGGTTTGGGACCTCAGGGTGGTCCTTAGGGGGCTGTCGGGTCCGCCTTTTGAACCGGCGGCGGAGGCGAGTCCCGAGTGTATCGCCTTTAAGACGGCCCTCTTACTGGCGTTGGCGTCTGCGAAGAGGGCGGGCGATTTGTGTGCGCTCTCCGTCCATGCGTCGTGCCTGTCCTTTGGAGAGGACGACGGCATGGTGGAATTCGGGCGTTCTGCTCTCCCAAAATTTCATCCACTGAGCGGCGCTGTGATCAAAAAATGACACCGTTTGTTGCCCAGTTCACTTCCGGTTGATTTCATACAATGGCGAATATGGCTCACGAAAACAACAAGCGATTGACAGTGCCTGAATTGCGTGAAAGGTTGAAGCGAAAGGGTATTTGCAGTGTGGGAAAACGAAAGGAGGAATTGTTGTTGCTAGTTCAACGAGCGGATGGTGTTTATGAAGATTTAGAAGATGATGACAGCGAGCAGAGTGAACGAAAACGGCTGTGTGTGCGAGTGACAGATGAGAATGAAGTTCAGCTAAGAGGGAAGAATGTGAATTGGACGGATGATTTGCGCGATATGCCACTAGTTAGAGACGGGAATGTATTTGCATATCTGATGCATCAGTGTAAATGGGGATGGGAGAGAGTGAACAATTTCGAAAAAGATGATGGATACATGATGTTCAAAGATGTGCATGTAGAGAAGATGAGGCTTGGGACCATAACTGGACACACACACCGTTAGTATCTGATCACTTGAATGCATCTCCTACACTAGAACAGCATAATACATCAAATAATGATTATAGTTAGATTTTAGACACTTACTTCCTACATAGTCTTCCCTTTGACTTGGTACAGGATTAACAATTTCAGCCCCAACTTCAGGTAGATCATCACTGCTTTCCACAGTCTCCGGCTGGTTAGATATCCATGGACAATCATAGTCTCGCTCATCACGGCTATTGTCATTCTCATCCATCATTGCAAATGTCCTTCTGCTGCTTCTTGGATTTAAGGGCTGACCCCAGTTATTCCAAGCAAAATATTTTGGATCAGAGGTTGACGTTTTATCGGCTCTAATGGAGTCCTGATCAAAATGTCTTGAACACAAGCGGGTTAATCTATCCATCCATCCATCTTCTTCCCCTTAATCCATTTCTGGGTCGGGGGGGTGGCAGTCAGAGCTGCACCCAATTCACTTAGCACCAGCCCCTCACTGACCCTCTGCAGGTGGTGAGTCCACAGGAGGACGGCTGCTCTGTCAGTGACAATACAGCCTTGATTTTTCAGCGGGGGCTTCAGGCAATGCAGGGTTAAGTGTCTTGCCCAAGGACACAACGACAGCAGTCATCAGTGGGAGTCGGTGGAGAAGGTCCCGTGGTGGGCTTGAACCCACGACCTTCAGGCTCAAAGGCCAGTGCTCTACCAACTGAGCTACTGTCGCCCCACGGGGGGCGAGATTAATCTCGCCCCCTTAGCGGGTTAATCTGTTAACATTAAAAACATCTACGTAGCCAGTAGAGTCCCTTCCACCCCTCCTTACGAGGCGCTTCCACCTGCTGATGTCTCTGGGGTTTTTCGGCCACTTGACCCACCGCACGCTTGACATCCACGGATATTGACTCAGTTTTTTATTGCTGTTAGATCGACAATTAGCGGCGGCACACTTGAAGCCCATGATAAAACCGGATTCAACAGAAAATGACGAAAACACTCAACCATTTAGAGAAAATGCGCCGGGCAGAGAGAACCGGAAGTTGCGAAGGCAACTGTTACCCATAATGCAACGCAAAATTCAGTCGCCCCCCCGCCCATCGGATGGAATTTTGGGAGAGCAGAACGCCCGAATTGTGGCCCAATCCGGCTTTTCTCCCCAAGGTCATCACGTCGGCCTTTAGGTCGAGGGTCATCAGGATTAGGGCTTCCACCCGCCGCCGCATGCCTCCCCCGAGGAGGAGCGGCAGCACCTTCTGTGTCCTATCAGAATGCTGAGGCATTACCTGGCCATGACGTCGTCATTCAGGTCGGGTGATCAGCTGTTTGTGTGTCTGGGCCCCAAGAACAGGGGCGCCCGCTGTCGGCTCAGCGGCTGGCGCATTGGGTCGCCACGGCGGTGCGGCGGGCGTATCAGACGCAGGGTCTGGCCCCCCCGGTGGGTTTCAGGTCGCATTCCACGCGTGGGATGGCGGCCTCTACGGCCCTTCTCAGGGGGGCGTCGGTCGAGGACGTTTGCCGTGCGGCGTCTTGGGCGTCGTCCTCCTCTTTCGTCCGGTCTTATCTTTCGGATGTGTCGGACCGGTCGGTGGCCCATTCCGTGCTGAGTGCAGCGGACTGAGTTAGACCGTTGGGTCCCTCCCCTGAGGGGGGCCTTCGGTCTATTTTCCGCCCTGGTGCAGAAGCTCTTGGGAGAGGCATCCTACAGGTGCGGTACATTTTGTGTGTGTGGTCGGTCTGGTAGTCCACGTCAGGAGCTCTTGGGAGAGGCGTCCTGTGACTACGGATGACCTACGGCTTGTGTTACGTGGGGGTATCCTTGGTAGGAGTGGCCCCGTAACACGCTTGTTTCTTCTGCCCTGAGTCCTCTCACGTTGTGAGGGTCTTGCTCGGGCGGAGCTCCAATCACCTTCGCTGGCCTGCTGGGAGTACATTTTCCTACGGCCTCCGCGTTGTGTCCCAATAGCAAAGTCCTAAGGGACGTAGCACCATGACGTAGAATTAATAGTTACTTAATGTAACTTAAGTTCTACGAATAGGTGCGTAGTCCCTTAGCTACGAGCCCATCAGGCCAGCCCGGCTTGGCAGAGTTCAAGAGGGGGTACGGCCTTGTGCAGGGGCATTTATAGAGGAAGGTGGCTGGTGATTGGAGCAAATTATTTTGATCTCTCTGGCGCGTGACCTGGGGGTCACGAGTGATATCCCACTAGCGAAGTCCTAAGGGACTACACACCTATTCGTAGAACTTAAGTTACATTAAGTAACTATTAATTCTTATTGTACAGTCTGACAGCAGCAGGAAGGAAAGACCTATGGAACCTCTCCTTCACACAGCGAGGGTGATATCTTTAAGCATTTATTTAAAAGACCTTTAATTAGTATTTTTAAAAGTATTTTATTTTACAGCTTGATTTATGTCATTATTTGAAGTTCAAAATGTAAAGATTTGACACAAGTGTATGGAAAGTCTTAGAGACAAGACAAAGTGTTTGACATTGACTTATTCACTTCTATGCAATTAAAGTTGATGTTTGTTCATCAATATTAGCATCATGGAGTATAGGGAACAAACTATAAAGTCAGTTCTATTGAATCTTGCCACTGCTTCTCAGATGCGAGTGCGACATGTTTATATACTGCAGTAAACACAACCCTGGCTCAGAAACGTTTCTTCGGGCTGACGCCTCCACCTTCTCACCAAGAGCACTCAAACACAATCCCAGCCTCCACATTAGCCCTGGCATCTCCCAATGTCAGTTTATTCAGAACGAGTCGTTACTGTTCACCTTCTGCGACCTTAGTATGTTTGCTGACAGTTTACAAGGCGACATTTACAACTGCAGTCTGGGAGGCTACATTCTCTCCCCATTTCCACATTCAAAAGCCCACATGGAGGCTGAGTTGGGTAAAATTGCTAGCACCATTGAGTAAAGAGGCTTTTGCATGTATTTTTTGGGAAAACAATGCAGTAAGATTCCTTGATTGAAAATGCTGCAGTCTGGTACATGTGTGACAGTGCACAGGTTCCAGGATCGATGATTATAAACAAAAACTTGAAGAATCCACTGCCGACAACAACAACTCAACAATCAAAGCTCACTCAAAGCACTGGCAGATCCTAAGTGCTGGGAACATTCAGCTTGCACAGTGTTGAGCATAACCAAACACAAGTGGAGGTTTTTATGAGAGAAAAATATATTTGGCTGAACAAGGAGGCATTCATGTGCTGATTCGTAGCAGACATGTAGCTTGGTTAGAGTAGGGGCCATCTGTGATTACACTCTCCTGCTATGACTCTGTGGATCAACACTGACATGATACATCCATGTAGGTGTACCGTTATCACCTGCTGCAGGAAGACACTTCAGACATCACAACATTTATCGTTTCCATGTTTCTGTCATTAATGTAATAAAAGAACATATCGTTACTACTGATTTTTAAGAAACGTAATATCAGTGTTAGTAAAGTACTACAAGGCAATGCGGTATGGGCTTCGCCCTCACTTTAAATTGTCAGAGATCTGAGTTGCATTTAATATTCCCAAACGCTCTGAAAACATGACATGAAACTGCCTTTACGTCACAAGATGAGATTCCATTTCGCTTCAGAACAATCAGGTTGATTCAAGGCGCCAAGGAAGGTGAACAATGCAAACATGTTGTCATGAGGCTGCATTTGAGATTATAGCCTCTAAACACATGACGGAGGACTTTGTGTTTGAACAAGGTGAGAACGAAGGAATTTTAAATAATGCTATCCTATTTCACAGTACATCTACATTTCAATAGACTGCATGATTAATGCACCTTTTCTAACATTACTAGGCAGAAAAACACCACAAGTCATGGGCAACCCCCTTTGGGTCAATGTGTACCTTTTACTTTGACAGGTTTGGATGACAATGCTTCAAAAACAAGACAAACTTTAGTGCAGCAGAATTTTCTGCCTTGTGGTGGCCATTAACAGTAAGTACTAAAGGCGTAGCGTCTCAAGTAGCCACATTAACATGATTCCCACCCATTGAGACGCAAGCAATTCTAACTGTTTAAAACAGATATGGGGAGCCCACAAAAGAAGTGTGACAGATGAGCTAATCTCTGTGCACATCAGCGGCTGACCCACTGAAGACCCAGTTTGGCCTGGAGTCCTGAGGAGCCCGCTGAATTGTCACTTTAACCTGTCGTCGGATAAAGTGACAAATCTTAAGTTGCTTTGTGCTGCAAGGTCTGGAGGTTCATGTTACTTAAGAAATAGGGAACAACCAATTTGATATTTTTGGAGCAGAATTTTTTGGGACTCAGCTCAGTTGATTGACAATTTATGAGAGTTTTTTTTATAAGCCAGGTTGTGTTAATTTGGAAATTATCATATGCCATACATATAAATGATTTCAAAGATTTGCCACAAACATGTGAACAAAGCATATATATTGAAAGGAAATAATGTTGCATATGCAGAAAATACATTCACATATATGGATCACAGTGAACAGTGGCGGCTGCAGATTGTAATACAACAGGTGAATTCTGAAGATTTGTAGCTTTGAAATTTAGTGCAACATATCTGTATTGGATGAAGTTGTTGGTGAGTGGGGGTGAAACATCCAATGACAAAAATACATAAATAATAATAAATACACTATTAAAATCGTCAACATTTCAGCAGACACAGATACATTGGTCGAACTCATGATGTAGAGATGTCAAGTCAAACTTGGAAACACAAACAGAAGCACATATACAACATACCTCAAGGATTTTGTCGTGGATTTGAAGGCCGTCCTCTTTATCCGCTGGACCATTCTCCACTATCTTGGAAACATAGATACCCTCATTGCTGTCGTGTTCTTCCTGCAAGAGAAGAATTTATAAATATTTGAATAACTGAGATACCAAAAGTAACCCAGAACATGGTAGTTCAAATGTAACGGATTGTAGGCATTGCTTGGCCATCTGTAGAAAGCATAGGGAGGAGTTGTCAGAAGACAGTTAACGGCAATAGTTTACTTCATCCCAGTTCTTTTAAACCAGCACATTGGACCGGTTTGATTATGCCTACTGTGGTAAGATGGTGGGGACTACTGAAATTGTCAAGCTCGTCTTCCCATACAACATTTCAACATGATAGTGAAAAGAATCCTGTCTGATCTGGATGTATAGACTGTCTGCTGCACCGGGATGGGGCTATGATCCCAGCGTCAGAGATAAATGGTGCCTTTGTGTAAAGTATTCCTTATAAAAGTGGGCATTGTGGCTCGATAGGGCGTCTCAGGAGGAGTGGAGGATGTGAGGGGTCAGGTCAGCCATACAGTCCTGCAGTCACAAAGAGGACTCTTGTTTGGTGTTTACCTAAAGATCAGAATGGTTTGTGTAACTGTATACACGGTGAGCACTTAACTCATGGAGCCTTGATCTTCTTGCTATAAAACAAGCCACTTATGTTTGTGAATTCAACCATTTGTTATTGTGTTCCGTCTTCAACATAGTAAAAGGTATATGAGATTGTCTGTGCATTGCATTTTTGTTTTGATTGTTTGAAAATAAATGGCACTTTTGTCGGTTGTCAACTGGAGATCGTAATTTATTTTGAGCATTTAACATCTCAATATTGGCCAAAACTACTCCAACACAAACAGGAACTTCAGCATTCAAAGCTACAATTAATGTTTCTAGATTACAATAGCACACACATTGGTCACAAATAACAGTTAGATCAGAATAAAGGTTACATGTCAAAGTTAAGCCAAAATCCATTTTGAATTTGTAAAAGAGATGGAAACCCTCTTTCTAAAATGGATAAAAGTTGGTGTGCCTTTGTCCCAACACAAACTGATTTTGTTTTGTTCAAATAACGACTACAACATATAGAATTTATTTTAATGGAAAACATTTAATCCTCCTTGCATAAAGAGCCACAGGGGTCACTATTTGATACTTGCGGCTGAGAGCTGATTGGCAGAGTGGTCCTCTCTTTTTCAGTTTTTGTCTGAAAAACTGAATTAAGGTTGTACTAGAGATACTACAACAGTATTTGTACTATCTCTAGTTTTCATGATGGATGATAACGTTACATGTGATTTATTCTATACTGAATTGTGTAAAAGTTTATACGTTTCTTTTTTCTTGTTTATGACTAAATTCTTGAAGACAATGCAAGCCAGTTTCCCCAAGTTCAAATCCGTGCACTCCCCACTTTTATCATGCTTATCAGTCAGCGTCCTTGTTCACATTAGCAGCACAAGTCAAGGGTGACGGTGAAGCGGCTCCTGTGCAGAAGGACAGCTGACGGCCCCCAACCGACCGTGCTCTAACAGCCGCCGCATTAAACATCAGGGTCAACGGTCGTATAGATATTACCATACCCTTTGAATGAATAGCTTTGAGGAAAAGAGAAGTAGACACAGAGGTATAGCTATCTGTGGTCATTGCGGTTGATGCATGGCTCTGTCACAAGGGCTGCAGAGGTCTGCCAGACTCAAAACACTGCTTTATGACTTAAGTCCTTTTAAAACTTTCTCAAAATAGTTGTGATGGCGATAATGTATGAGACTGGAGAAAGTGTGTGCGTCACTGGGGCTATGGAAAACTGCCTTGTAACTGTTAAGTACGGTCCAAGTGAAATTGATACGGGCAAGGGCATGTGAAAGAAGCTCAAAGCTCAAAGGCTCCATGTACAGAAGGGCGACCTGGGAGGAAAGTATTGGAAGGATGTACATGATAAAAAGTAGAGAAACCAGTGCAATAGAGCAACCGAAAAAAGTTATGTTGAAAGCAATTTCACATTTCATTATTATCTATGAAACTAAAGTAGATTTCCATCGTGTATTTTTCAGTGAGAGCAGAAGATCCAAGCTGACTGTTGGCTATTTGAGATGACTGAATCTTGATTGATAGCATAGTCACTCGGGCTGCATGATTTTGGCATAATATCGAATGGTGAAATTTATGACAAATATTGAAATTGTAGCAATGCTATTTTCAATTTTCTGCATGTTCAATATGTCCAGTTTTCATCAAATTAGTCAAAACAACATTTCAAAACAGTTCCATTTGAAAAAAAAGAACCCTATTTCAAGACTTCCCAGAAAATGTTTTAAAGATACTACCGTTCAAAAGTTTGGGGTGACCTAAGTGTTTTCCATGAAAAGTCACTTATTCACCACCATACGTTGTGAAATGAATAGAAAATAGAGTCAAGACATTGACAAGGTTAGAAATAATGATTTGTATTTGAAATAAGATTTGTTTTACATTCAACTTTGCTTTCGTCAAAGAATCCTCCATTTGCAGCAATTACGACATTGCACCAAAAACCAGACATTTGCAGCTAGAATAGTCATTTACCACATAAGCAATGTATAGAGTGTATTTCTTTACAGTTAAGACTAGTTTAAAGTTATCTACAGTGCTTTTCCTTCAAAAATAAGGACATTTCAATGTGACCCCAAACTTTTGAACGGTAGTGTATGTATAGTCAACAAAGATTGCCTCAAAAAAAGGTAAATACATTTTCACACGCATTTTGACCGTTTCAGAGCTCATAGAATTTGAAATAATGAGAAAAGAATGTTTTTGCCTGACAAGAAGACAAAAGACACATTGACAAATCTTCTAAATATACTACTATCAAAAGAAATGTTCCCGGAATAAAGTTTAAGATTTTTTTTGCCTACAGTATATATTTAGTCCCTTTTCTTTTCTTTTCAAAAAGTTAACAATATTCAGTCTTTTACAATCGCTATTTCTATGCGATTGCGAATTTGCGATTATTTGTTGCGATAGCTCTTGGCACAAAACAAGTCGAGTGGCAGATTGAAACATAAACAATAAAAAGACCGCCACATCCACGCCGCAAACTTCCAATTCTTCACCTAAAAAGAAAATGCACCAATTTTACAGTTTGTTTCAATTTGAGAGCATGTTATTAATGAGCCACAGCACTTCAGAGCCGGAAGGCAGAGAGCTGTTGCTGCGATAACTTTGAACCACCAAGAGCCCTTTTCAATTAGAGACAGAACAAGTGTGGTCAAAGCCAAAATCCTACATTTAACTCCCATAAAAGTAATTATAGTTTTTGTTTTAATCAGAAATGCCAAATCCGCAAAAACCACACTAGTGTATAAACATCATAAAACCAGCGAGACGTGCACGGTCCAAATGGGAGACTACGGCGCATGTAAGCATGTCAGAGCGCAGAAGGCCATTCCTACGCTGCTATTTAACACTTGACTCTGGGAGGGGGGGAGTTGGTGTGTTGGGGGGGGGGGGGGGGGGGGTGCACACGCTGTTAACCTACCGCGCACGGCCTTCCTCCTACGATGTTAAACCCCAAAGTTCCACCCTCACGAAGGAGCACCACTGCCACGCTCTTAGTCTCGCTCTCCTACACAGACAAAGAAATAAGGGACACGTCAGCAAAGCAACAGCCATGCAACAGCTGTTCATTACTATTTCAAAAGGGGCCTGGTTGGAATTAGGCGCTTGTTTTTTTTGGGAGATAAATAAACCAATTTATAACCCGCGCTCATCTGGGAGAGCGGTGTCTGTTAATGGCATCGAGTCAGTGCGGAGAAGGAATTCGTTTCGCATTTCCAGCAGTAAAAATTTTACTCATGTCTCTGATCGTTACACATGAGGGCTGCGTATGAATCGTAAATCGACGTTTTTGTGGTCGCCAATCGCAAAAGACTGCAATGATTGAAGGTCTTTGCAAAACAGAAAAGGGACTAAAGGTAAGAAAAAGTCACGAGAATTTGTCAATGCAAGCAATTAACTTTCGTCTTGTTGTCAGACTGATTTTTCAGACCGCATTTATTTCTCTTTTCAAACAAGACATCTCATCTTTTTCATAATATATAAAAGCCGGATATGTACCCCACTCAGTTCTGACAGGCTACTGGATGCAGTGTACAGCAGGGCAAAAAAGTATTTAGTCAGACACCAATTGTGCAAGTTCTCCCACTTGAAAGATGAGGGAGGCCAGCAATTTTCATCATAGGTATACCTCAACTAAGAGAGACAGAATGAGAAAAAAATAATCCAGGAAATAAAATTATGCAAACTATGGTGGAAATAAGTATTTGGTCAATAACAAAAATGAATCTCAATACTTTGTTATATACCCTTTGTTGGCAATGACAGAGCTCAAACGTTTTCTGCAAGTCTTCACAAGGTTTTCACACACTGTTGCTGGCGTTTTGGCCCATTCCTCCATGCAGATCTCCTCTAGAGCAGGGATGTTTTGGGGCAGTCCCAAGGCAACACAGACTTTCAACCCCCTCCAAAGATTTTCTATGGGGTTGAGATCTGGAGACTGACTCGGCCACTCCAGGTTCTGGGGGTTTTGCTCAGCGTTCTTGTGATCCTTTTGACCCCACGGCATGAGATCTTGCGTGGACCCCTGGATCAAGGGAGATAATCAGTGGTCTTGTTTGTCTTCCATTTTCTAATAATTGCTCCCATAGTTGATTTCTTCACACTAAGCTGCTTACCTATTGCAGATTCAGTCTTCCCAGCCTGGTGCAGGTCGACAATTTTGTTTTTGTGGGTCCTTTGACAGCTCTTTGGTCTTGGCCATAGTGGAGTTTGGAAAGTGACTTTTTGAAGTTCCCTACTCAGCCTCTTAAAGAAGGAGTTACAGGTAAAGTATGTGAGAGCCACAAATCTTTCTTGTTTGAACTTAACTAAATACTTATTTTCCACAATGTTTTGCAAATAAATTATTAAAAAATCAGATTTATTGACAGATTGATTTTCGGGATTTTTTCCTTAGCACACATCACCACTCTGAGGAGATTCAGTGTCGGTCTCTCCTTTTGCAGAATGAGTTGGCCTTTCCGTATACAGTCCAACATAACAAATCATAAATCCAAGGCTTTGGTTCTAAGTGCAAAAATGTTGGCTATAGCTCCATGCCAGAAGAGACACTTGCATTATTTTTAAGCGTTCACCTCAGACCTTTCCCTTTCCTGACAAGCTGTTAGCTAGTTCAGTGAGTGTAAAGTTAATGTGTTGGGACCTTGGCTGTCAAAGTTTAACTGGATAATAGCAAAACAACTGCTACATTTCAAAGATTTGCATAAAATCAAAAGATAATTTCTACATTTTCTGTTCCAATGTGAGATGACCTTAAACGGCTTGTTGAGCTTCAGTGCAAACAAATATTTTCTGTTTTAGTCATAGCTCACGCTGACGGTAATTAAATCCACAGACAGATGCATTTTGATGGTGGACATACTTGGAAAGTGTGACTGCGGAGTGCCAGCCTACCAATGCAGCTTGGTCAACTTTTCCATTATTCCTTAAAACGTGTGTCTTAGTTTCCTGTCTATGATAGTTTTACACATTTTAGCAGTAAGGGCCTTTGTTTTTATCACCTGGACATAGCAATCCCTTTAGTTAGAGCAGTCCCCCCTGAAGAGATCACTTGTTTTTTAAAGACTGAGTGACTAGAGTGTTTGCAGATGTACAAAATACACTCCTTAATTAGTGTGAGATCATTTTCGCTGTGCTTATACAGACACAAAAGACCTGTGTCTGAACCACATTAACTCTGCATTTAGCGACGGAAACAAAACAAAGCTGGAATCATCTGCTGCATGCGTCTTTGAAAAAAACAAAAAAAAACTAAACAAAGGCAAGTCTGTGGTTGCGTGTATGAACGTTGCATGTGTGATCTGAAAGATGATGTAATTTTTAATCATTGCAAAGGCGGGTATTACGCACAATATTAGGAAATAATACTAAATATCAAACGGACAATATATGAGAATGAAGATAGGTAGATTGAGCTGAATATGCATTGCGAAAAACTGCATGATTCACGATGCAATTTAAAATCCATCAGACTGGATGATTTCACATTTATCTTAAAAATGGTCAATGCAGAGTTCAAATTCTACTGCATAAAAACCCCACTCACAAGTTGGTGGCGCACTGTCCAGTCCAGCAGAGAAACATAGTATCTCACTATGGCTTCATTTTGTCAAAGGTTCGTTTTAAAAGATGGGACAAAAATGGCTTATTTAAATTTGGGTTGGGGGAAAAGTTGATGGGTTTTTGCACACAACACGCAGACATAGACTAAAACATATACAGTGTAGGAAGAAAAAGTAAATGAATGAACGAGACAAAACCAAGACAGAGCACAACACCATGACATGGGCTAAGAGTCAACTAACGAGTGGGTCAAGCGCAAGCTTGTGCAAAAACTAAACTACAGAGGGTCAGGGAAGAAGAAGGCGGAACCCAAGAAGATTGTCCTTGCCTGGATTTCACAAAAATTACATTTTCACAAAATCAAATGTTCGAATAATTGTCTAGCCCTTTGCACACCCCTAGTAGAAATACGATCTTGCCATTTGTTTGTGTGCATGACAAAATACATAGAAAAACCTCAAATCACATCAGGTCACAACATTAGGTTTTTGACAGTACGTGTTTACATCTCCTCAAAATGCACTTTTCACGTCACTGATTCCCAACTGTCCTCTTGTTGACAGCTCAAGTCCCACGTCACCTTAATTTGAAAGCATGTGTGGCTAATGTTTCCGTGACAAAATGCAGCGCTTCACATTCCAGTGTAGCTGGACAAGCACATGATTGACTCGTACGTATTCCAATAATATCTGCCATTATTTAGGGCTTCTCATGTCCATTACAAAGGGAAGTGGCAGCTGAAGTGATGCTCCATTGTAAGTGACCTTAGAGCATGGATTGTCCTGAGTCTGCATCTTTCCCAGAAGTCTTCATGTCATGCTGCCTAAGTAAGAGGTCTGTGGATGTATTATTTTACAGGAGACAGAACAACAGTTCGTGGGAGAGGGTCTCGGCTCGTCTTTGAACAAGTCAGGGGTATTACTTTCGTTACTCACATTACTATTCCAACATTTATCTGAAACTGCTCTGCATTGCAAGCAAAGATATGATCTTCAATTCCACTTGTTCTATTTATTTGTGTTTCTGTCTATAATTACAGTATATTGGGGTTACTGTAGATGTGACATTGTTAGTGCTGTGTAATCAGATTTGATTTGTGTTCCATATGATACAATTTTAAAATTGAAAACCATATTTATTCCATTCCGTGTTGTAATGGAAAACACTTCAAGTTAATCCTAATTACATAATGCAATCTTCAACTCGTCTAACCTGGTTACAACCTGGTCTTCTTAGCAAATATTACATTTAAGCAACCGTTTCAGAATAATAAGATTGGAATAATGAACGGTTATATTAAGTTTTCTGGGAACACGATGCCTTTGAAATCTTATAATGTATTGCTCTTGATCATATTAACCCAACATGACCCAACATTGTCAAAGCAACGTGCTTCTGAGAGAAGAAATCTGATGTTGGCAAGAATTACAGGCCACAAAACTATCAACAGTACTTTGTGCATTTTGAGTCACTTCAACTATGGGCTTCATGGAAAAACTAAAAACTGGCATCTACAATAAGCTGGATGTTCACAATGAAAAAGTGTCATAAGTCTGTTCCGTCATTGATTCAGTCTTTTTCAAATTATTAGTGTTCATTTCTGAATATGGACAGTAAAATGCAAATAACTGTCAATGATAGCCAAGGCTGAAAAGCCAACATATGGATGCATTTCCTGTGTCAAATGGAGCTGGATAAGCAGCTGTGATACCACCGCTGCAGCACTCTTTATATCAGCATGGGCGATTTCACCATTTCTGTGGCTCAGTGCATCTGATGCACAATTTCCCAGTCTTCTGGAACACATTCAGTGGAACTTTACAAAGAGACGACCAAAGACCAGAATTCTATGTTCATTGGGTTAGAAATAACTAAATTACAAATCTTATTTGCAGTATCTTACCACATGCAACTTTTCTGATGGGGTTCACCACCTGCTCGTAATGGACAAGTTATATTTGGATTGTGCCATGATATTACACATGTACAATTAGTCAATTACAGATGTTTTTACTGCTTAATAGGCCAAATTCTTCACGTAAGCACTCGCCTCTGGAGTTGTGAGCTGTAACATCTCCGTTTGACCCAGGAGCAACCAACCTGCAGACTTCAGTTATAGCAATTTACACCCATTCACGTACACATGCATATGAATCGGTTAAGTGTCTTGTCCAAGGACACTCTGCAAGACAATTCACCAATGAGAGCTGGTTTCCAACTTCCAACCTACTAGACAGTCGGTTTGACCGTTCAACCGATGTTTATGTCAGAAGCAGGATTCGAACAACATTGCCGCCACACTATGCACTTTCTAGTCCACACATGCACAATCTAAACAGAAAGACACTGTCTGGCTCAGGCGTACTGGACTCACGCTCAGCATAGAGTGCTGCCCCCTCAGTCAGGCCTGAGGATTGAGCTGGAAGGAGTGTGCCTGGAAAGGGATGTCTGTGCAGCTCGGCTCTGACCGCTTCCTTGCAAGCCTCCAAATGTTAAAATATTATATTTGGAATTAATTTAGTTCACAATTGTTATCCTCCATTGAGCTCTAGTGCAAAGTGCACTGATTCAATACATTGCAAATTGGTCTTTATGATCCATTAAAGATCAAAGCATATAAAAACACCCCACCCCATTATTCCAGGAGTTAATCCTTTCCATCAGTCCACAGTTTTCTTTACGCTGTTTGAAAAATAAATAATACAAATGTTGAGTCATTGGTCCCGCTTTCCCTTGCTTATTTGAATGTCACTAAATCTGACCTTTTTGTCAAAATGAATAAGCACAACAAACTTAGATCCCACCTGAAATTGCTACATAAAATTCCAGTAACCCAAACAACATCTGAACTTTCATGGAGAACTGCCATTTCCTCCAAAACTACAACATGTGCAAACAACAACAATTTAACACAGTATTCATCATTCACAAATGTAGTGACCCAGACTTCCACCCAGAAGTGCATCAGTGAATTGTGTTTTAGTTGAGCAGTGAGCTGTCACAGTCATGTTTAAATAAGCATGTTTAGAGCAGGCTGTAGAACTAGGAGCTGGCCCTTGTTGTGTACAGAAGTGCAGTAAATATTTAGCCCTCCCCCTTCACTGCCAGCTGGTCAGGAGCACAGCTGACAGCAGCCCTCATACTCAAGAACTGTAAGAGACTGTTTAAAACATAAAAGACCCCATGTTAATTAAGGCAGGGTGGTAACTGGCAACCATCAAACAGTTTCCTCTCTGTACTACCCATCTCTGGTTGTGCAGATAGTAAAACATGCCAAAACAATCACATTATTACTTTGAAAGGTAATTAACAAGAGTAAGCTAAGAATAGCAAAGGAAGTTTAATAGTTAATGCGTGGATAGTGAGAACAGATCAAATCTATAATAAGCTACAATTGATTGTGTAGTTTTCTTTCAATAAGTTGCCTGACTTACCTTGCAGGAGAAAGCCACACTTTTGGTGAGGGAGTCGATTCTCTCGCTGTACTCCGTGAACTTCTTTTGGTACTTGAGTGCTGTCATCTGCAGCTCGCTGTGCACGGCGGAGAGCTGTGCAAGCAGAGCCTTCTCCCTCTTGTTGGCTTGGATGGTCTCCTTCTTAAACTCCCGGTCCAGGCTGATGATCTTGCACTGCAGAGCGGTGTTGTGCGCCTTCAGGGCTCGCACGCAGCAGTGGCTCTGGAGCCTGTGCTCCTTGTGTGTGAGGGTTAATCCACAGCCGCTGTCACAGATCCCCGCGGGTCTGTGCTCACAGGTGTCCCGCATGTGTGCACCCAGGTCCCGCAGGCTGAGCACGTCCTCACAGCCCCGGTTCCTGCAGGGCACCGGGGCAAATTCGCACATCTCCGTGTGCTCTGCCAGGTGCTGGAGTTTGACCACGGCGTCGCAGCCCCTCGCGTGGTTGTCACATTTGATCTCCAGCTTTAGAATAAGGTTTTTGAGGGGTAAAACGTGGTTGAGCTCTTTGGCTGAGATGCGTTGACATTTAACTGGACAGCTGCTCTGCTGGACGACCCAGGGCAGCACACAGCCCGAGCAGAAGACGTGACCACACGGGGTAGTCAGCGGCTCCTCCAGGACTTTGTTGCACAAGTTGCATTTAAAATCCGGGTCCACGGTGCCTTTGAATCGGTCCAACTCGAATCCCATGGTTTAAAGAGTTGTTCTAAAACAAAAGTCCCAGTCCAAAGTCCCCAGTCCGCACTGGGGGGCTTCAGCTGGTCCGCCTCGCACTGCTCTCTCTCTGCTCTCACACTGCTCTCTCACTCACACTCCACTCCACTCAACAAACTCACAAACTCTGCTAATTGACCGAGACCTGGTGCCTTCACGGGCGCATCGGACACTGCGTAGCGACAGTTTGAGAACTTTTCAAAAGTCTTTTTGACGTACAAAAATATATTTACAAATATACAGAGAGAGGAAAAAGGTCAATGAGCTCGTGCTTACCCAAACCTTAGCTAAACGTGAAAACAGATGCACTGTTGTAGCCTAATACAATTGCCCAGCGAAAAACGTTGACTACAGAATATACTTCTCATTCAAAGGAGGGGATAATAAGAAGCAAATTAATCAAGAAAAAGTACCTAAAATTCATCAAACTACACTATTAAGTAAACTAAATCCAATTTTTACGTTGTAGAGCTTTCAAAGCTCCGGTGGTCTGTGAAGCCACCAGAGGTGAGCTGTCTCCGATGCGCATGAACGCTCCACCGAGGACCAACGACTTTTCTGCTTCTGTTTATCTGTTATTATTTTTAAACCAAAATGCTTTGTCATTTGTGCCACCGTTTTGATATTTTTACCAACCACTACCAATGTATTATCACACAATGTTAAGGAAGGACACATATTTAGTTGCTCCACTATCCACTACTGTCAAAACAGTAGTGGATATTTTGGTAGAGTCCTCTGCAGCACGTCAAAATAACTCCATTGTTTGTTTGTTTTTACTCAAGGGCATTCCCCTGTTTCGGGCCATACATGGAGTGCTTAATGATTATATCTTTTCCCGTATTACTCTTTTGAGTTAGTGTAGGAGTAATGCAGTGGAAAATGCCCGTGCCAAAACTTGCCACCTCCTGGCTTTGACCCTTGGGCTACACTACTGGTTGTGTGATTTATGATGTCCCACTAAACAGGCTGCCTGCCTGTGTACGCCTGTCTACCACCCACTGTTTGGTCTGCTCTGCTGTTCACTCTCAGACTGAAGCAAAATAAACAAGCAAACATTAAAAAGGTGAGATAGGCTGCTATCTTTTTCTCAGGAGGATATGAGCAGTGAACATCTTTTTTTCCACGCCAAAAAGACACATCACCCAAACTAATATTGGTGTTGGTTGAATTGGCCAATGGCACACATTAGAATCCTTTGCAACTGAGCTTTTCGCACACCCGCAGGAACTAGTCCTATATATTATTCTCAGTTCTTATTTAGGTCGAATAACCACCCTGTTCCCTTTGGTTGCATTTACATAGTAAACATGGCAATACGTTGCTCATACATATGCATTCACGTTGGAGAGTAATAAAACATTCATAATTCTACTTTAATGAAAAATCAAATGAGACTTCACTTTGACCTGTGGTTACAAACATGAAACTAAACATCAGAAAGATTGCTATATAATTACAATGATTTTTAAAAGATCTTTCCTAATCTAACCTATTATCCTATTATCTACTTGAGAATTATACAGGTGTTTTTTGTTGTTCATATTGAAACATAATGAGAAGGTCAGTGTTGTACATGTGTCACATTTGTCAGCAACAGGTTCCTGTTTTCACTGGAAATTACAGTATCAACCATAGAGCAGGATCTAAATAAGTCCCAAAAGCACTTTTTATTATTATGTTTGATTAGGAACAACAATCTCAAAACATACCAGGAATTGAAAATAGTTCCTACAGCGTGAAAATGCCTCATAGATGGCTTGTTAACTACAAAAGTTGTTAACATTAGTAAAGTAGAGGGAATTACATCTAAGTCAATTAGCCCATATTTATTGCCGCTGTTGCTGCCAAAGACAAAGTGAGAAGTGATACATCAGTGCTTTTCTCTACCAGATGATGAGCCTATATTACACCTCATTGGGAGGCATTAAAAAAGAATCATTTTAATTCAATTAAGCAAATACTATACTGTAACTACAAAACTGTGCATCTGTACTTCCACCACATCTTGGCAACCACTTTAGTAGACAGATACACAATCCTTACATGTAGAAATCTTTCTTTTCATGTAGAAAACACTGAGATGAGTCCAGCACACAAAGCCAGTCAGTGGTTGGTTCCACTGCAGATAAGACAAAATCCCAGGGCTGCAGGCCTAACTGAGAGTGAAGGATCGTGACAGACTGGATGGAAATGGTGCTACCAGGTCTGCCTCAGCAGCAGATACGCCTGGGGACTCAGAGCACTTCTGGCACCAGCAGATCTGAGGGAAAATCAGCCAAACTGTAAGTGTGAATGATTGTCTGTCAGCAAAAGTCCAACGGAGACGTGTATGAAAAGGGACAATCTGCACTCTGCCTGAGACAGAAGTCATTTACCAAGTTTCTTTGGATTTTTCTTTACAAATGTACAACTTTGTGGAGGTGAACTATTTTACTTGCTTATATAATCCAAAATAATTCAAAACAGAAATTTATTTCGGCTTCATCCATTGCCAGATTGAAGGGGCCTCCCTCCCTTGTGTTATAGTCCTTACCCAAAGCTGACCATAAGGAATGGTGTGAACATAGATTGTTTTGAGTAACCTCTCTCTCTGCAAACCGTCCTAGTGCATGTTGGTGCTAGTATGTTGAAGCCAACAAGACAACACAGTTTGCAAGCAGAAATGAACAGCGAGCAGTGTACAAACAGCAGCTGGAAGAGCTCAGGGCCGCAGAGGATGTTCATGTTTTTCAGAGAAGGCTCCAGACACATCTCTTAGTGTGTATTATTAGTACCTATTCTATTAAAGTATTATACAGAGTAGCACACTTTGAGACATACTCAGTTATTCATTGTGCTATAGTCATGTACTCCATATTTCTTTTGTTTTATATTTTCCTTACTACAGTATATGCACGTGTGTGTGGGAGTGTGTGCACGTGTGTGTGTGTGTGTGTGTGTGCGCGTGTGTGTGCGTGTGTGTGCATGTGTGAAATGTATTATACTGTTATACTGTTTAATTTGGGGTGAGTCTGTTGTTTTGATTGATTTGAAGGGGCATAATAAATGAAAAGAAAAATTGAATTTATATATTCTGTCTTATTGTCTTTTCCTGTAATAAGTCTGTGATAAAGTATGACAATCATGATGATGATGATGATATCCTGTTGTCCCCAAACTGGACTCTCTCCATCCTAAAAAGTCTGTCCATAAAAACAGTGAACAGAATGAGTGACATAGGGCAGTTTTTGCAAGGCCAACAAGCACTGGGAACAAGTCTAACTTACTGCTGGTGAAGCAAACACAGCTCCGACTCCGGTCATTCAGAGGCCGGACATAAACCCGCAATCCATCCATGATAAATCACAAGCACACACGTTTTCATTATTGCTTCGTCAAAAGGCACCTCACTTTCAAGCTTCGGCCCAAATGATTCTGGAGTTAAGCCCATCAAGACATCAGCGCCTCTTCTTTAGACAGAGCGCCATGTGGGTATCTGCTACAAACAAAATTTATAGTCTTTTCATGTCAGTCCAAGACAAGATGTACTCCTGAGAGGAATACAATACCCCCCTGCTGCGGTTTCCCATGAGCTTGACTCTCCCATGGGTGTCGCAGATTTTGTCAAAACTTCTTCCGAACCCCTTGTGATTTATGTAGCAATAGTGTGGCTTGTTTTTCTTCCAAACATCAGTGACTTATCGCGGCGTTCACAGGGGAGCTGATGCGACGCCTTGAGTGAATGAGTAACTTTAAGGGCCGTCTGCGGATTGGCCTCATGCTGTATACACTGAAGGGGGTTGTTGGAACTGTTAGTCCCAATGTGCCAGCATTTAAGGCAGGCAGAGAAAGAAAGAATGAGAAAATACGTTACGTCATTGTGATATGTTTAATTGGCAACTATATACAGCCTATATGGACATAAGATACTTTCATAAGAGAGAAAAAATGGGAATATTTTCTCCAAAAGTTCAGAGCGTTTTGCCTATAGACCCCGTCACGTTTTTAGAATTGTTTTAGGTTTTTTTTTTTTTTTTTACGTTTAATTTTTGATTTAAAAGGAGATTCTTCAGGAAAATATTACAAAAGAGGAGAATGGCAGAGAAAGTAAGGGAGATAATAATAAAGTAAAACATAAATAAATACAAAACTAAACCTAAAAGTAAAGATAAATAAATACATGAAATATATGCAAAAACTAAAATAAATAATACAATAAATAATGGGGCGACAGAGCATTGGCCTTTGGGCCTGAAGGTCGTGGGTTCGAGCCCATTATGGGACCTACTCGAACTGCTCCCACGAATGCGTACTGTCACTGTGTCCTTGGGCAAGACACTTAACCCCACGTTGCCTGGAGCCTCTGCTGAAAGAACAAGGCTGGGCCAAGCAGCCATCTTCCCGTGGACCCACCACCTGCCGGAGGATCAGCGAGGGACTGGTGCTATGAGCATTGGGTTCACAGCTCTCATTGCTACCCCCGACCCAGAAATGGACTAACAAAGGGGTTGAAAATAAATGAATGAATGAAAAATAATTAATAAAATAAAAATTTGGGGACGTCATTATATAGAAGTTCACATACACATTCATGCACATGTACATATACAAATATCCGGATATGTTTCGGTTGTTTTTTTTAACCAAAACAACATTGCTCACATGACTAAACAGCATTTTGTGGACAAGTTCTGAATACTATTCAGATATTTAAATGATCATTATTTTTGCTGCTGGCGTGGCATTGCACACACATCCGCCAATGTTTGTATATTTATCTTAAATTATTCACCCTGCACGGTCCCAGACCAATTAAGTGTAAGATACCCCGAACTCCTCCCAAACCCCAACCCCAGCTGATGGAAATATTTACTGCTTCTTGAAAGATCATTATAGCGGGCCGCTTTGTGGGATATGGAAGCAAAGACAATAAATATTTTTTCGGCCTCGCATAGCAGACTGTTATGAATTCTCGCAGGGAGGTTAGAGGCTGG